GGGGGGTGGGGGGTGGAGACAGCTGACCCCGGGCAGCCCCGCCCCGCCTCTCTGGGGGCAGCACCTCCAGGGGCCCCTCCCGCCACCCTGGAGCCCAGCAAGGCCTGGTGGGAGGCGGCATGACCCTGAGAGGCTTCGGTCCACTGGCCGCTGGAAACGAGCTGGACGGTCCCTCTGACCCCTTGTCCCTGTTTGGGTCTCCGCCCCTTGGCAACCAACAAATAGACCTGGCGGCCTCTTCATCGTCACGGGTATTAGATGCCAGCCAAAGATTCAGTTACAAAACACTGTCACCTGAAGTCAGGAACGCACAGCAGTAAAGTCTGTGTTGACCCCCCACTACCCTCGTGTGGGTGGCACTCAAGGGGCCCTGAGGGGAAAGGCTGGGGCACCCTGCCCACCTGCCCACCCCAGAGAGTGGCGGTGGAGTGTGGGTTTGGAGCCAGCCACCCTGGTTTCAGATTGCATCAGTCAGGTCACCCTGGCAGACTGTGAACCTCTGTTTGCCTCAGTTTCCTCATCTAGGAAGTGAGGATAACATCGGTTCTGACCTCGGAGAGCTGCTGTGAGGACAGGAGGGAACGGGTGGGAGGGCACACACAGGGGCGCGGAGGCCCCAGCCCTAGGGGGCTGGCACTGTGGGAAGCGCTTAGCATTTCCATCGGGAAACAACAGACGAGACACCTGGATGCTCAGGAAGAAGAGGTTACCTGCCAAATGGGCCCAGCTGGACCGCGCCAGAGCCGGGATTCGCACCCAGGTCTGCAGGCTCCAGAGGCTGAGTCCTGACAGTTACTGGAGCCTTAGAGGCAGCTACACTGGATCAGAAAAGAGCTTGAACTTGGGAGGGGAAGGCACTGTTGCATTTGAAGCAGGACAGAGCTGCAGGTGCCCCAAGCTCGTGCCCTGAGCTTTGTGCAGCTGGCCCCCGCTCCGGCCCCGGTCCCAGCCGCCTGGGATGGACGTGGGGAACAGAGCCAAGGCTAAGGAAAATGAGAAACGCCCTCCCTGTGTGACCCGAACCCCAAAAAGGAAGGACCTAGGGTGATGGCAGCTGTCCCCAGATACCTTCCAAGACGGCTCCAGACACTGACGAAGCAGATCCCAGGGCGAGAAGGAAATCCAGAACCACCTGCTCCCAGCCGCCCCCGGGCTCCCTCCCCGGAGAACAGACCAAGAGCTGAGCTCCCACACACGCCGATCCACGCCAAGGCCACCAGACAGACAGACGCTGCCTGTCTGGGCAAGCACCCCCAATCACCCCCAAATCGGAGGCGTGAAGCAACTCCTCGGCCATCTGTTTGACCCTCGCAGTCCACCCGAGCCTCGCTCCCACCCCTACTAGGGAGCTGGGCTGCTCCGGAGCTGGGCCTCTTTCTAGGGCAGAGGAGCACACATGCTTACACAACTTGAAGCACAAAACCCAAGCCCGGGATCTGGTCTCTGACAGCTTACGGAGTGCTAACGTCCCACAAGGGGCCGCCTGTCTGGTAAGGGCCCTCGCCAGCCCCGTCAACCTGCTCCCCGCACTGGGGCGCACAGCCGACATCGACCATGGGGCTGGCAAGTCACACCGCATGGCGGGATCCTTTGTGCCCCTAGAGTGTGCGTCCTTCCGCAAGCAGCTGCCAAGACTTATTAGAAGTTAAAAAAAAAAAAGGGGGGGAGGGGAGGGTGGAATGGGCTGCACCAAAGCACGTCGCACAAAAGGCCCACAGGCCGGGCCCACTCGGGCTGGACAGCTGGCCCCGGTCCGGTCTCACCTGCCGCAGCTCTCCTACACACCAGACCCTGGGTGGCAGGGACCTGCTGCCACCATCTGTCAGGCACCAGGGCGGGTCACCAGGCCCCCTGAGAAGAGCCCAGCCGCCAGTCCCACAGCTTGTGGGAGCGCTCACGTGCCCCCAGCAGGCCCATCCGGAGCTCTCCACCCACAGGACTCAGAGATGCTGTGACCACCCCCGTGTCCCAGAGGAGGAAACTGAGGCACAGATGGCCGTGTAGACCACCAGAGCTCACACACCTAGTAAGGGGGAAGCCAGGATTTGAGACCAGGCTGGCAGGCTCCCATGCCCACGCGCCATGGCCTCTGTCGGGGGTGCAGAAGTGTTCTCTGCCTTCTCTCAGTTCTCCCGGCTTACTCCGCCCTCCCCGCCCTCGGGACGCCATCACGTTTCTGGAAGACCGGAGAAAGTGATGGTCCTCAGACAAGGAAAGGTGGATGTGAACAGCATAACCAATGCTGTGGGGCCCTGGGGTGAAAGACTCCTTTGGACCAAGGGGCCTGCTCCGGCTGGTTTGCCGCCCCCCCGACCCAGCCCCGAACCCTGCCCCCAGCAGCCACATCCACTCACCCATAAGTCCGCTGGATCAAGGTGGGGTGCAGCTGCTGCACGCCGATGGCAAAGCCTAAAATGCGACAGCAGTTAGGGGCTCGGCCTCATCCCAAGGAGGACCCACCCACCCCGACCCCCACCAAAAGACACAGATAACGGGCTTCCTCTGCACTCCCAGGCCGCCGTCCCTCCAACCCGAATGCGCCTTGCCGAAGCAAAGCCAAGGGAGCGGGGTTGCAGCAGCCCCTGGGTGCCCGCCCTCCCAATCTCCAGCCCGGGAGCTGACTGCCCCTTGCCGCCAAGACAGCTGACGACTGGGTGATGTGCCCTCCTCACCCTGCCCCACGGGTACATGTGCCTAGACCAAGGGGTCCAGCTCCCAAGCTAGGGAAGGAGGGCCCTGTGACGGCTCTGCAGGCACATGATAGCTGACGGCCACTCCTGGGGGGGGGGGGGGGGAGGGCCGTTTCCACCCCACGGATACCAACACTGAATATAGCAATCAAGACGAGCCGGGGAAGGAAAACACGGGCTCTCTCACCCGTCTGGAGGCTCCTCGGCTTGGCGCCCAGATATGCCAGGTTCACGTTGGCCTTGCGGCCGTCGATGTTGGGATTAGGGTCTTTGCAAGCTCTCTCAGCTGCCGCCCGGTCGGCCATAGTAACCTGGAGGAGCACAGACGCATCAGGGGCTTCCCTTACTGGGTGGGAGAAGCAGAGGGCTCTGCTCTGGCAAGGGGCCCTCACGTCCCCCTCCACCGGGGCCAGTGACCCAGAGCCTCTGGCACAGTCTCCACCGACCTCCCACCCCGGGGCCCTCCCACAGAGGTGCCCCTGGATTTCAGCTCCTCCTTCCAAGTTCCTGTGCTGGGAAACCTAGCCTTCAAGGACAGAAAAGATCCCCAGGGGAGACAAGGCACCCTCCCCCGCCCCAAGCAAGGCAGGGGCCCCAGCCGGTCCTGCCTGCCAGCCAGTGGGGGGTGCGAATTTCCTCATGGGAGGGGCTGGGGAACGCTAGTTAGAAAGGAAGTAGGAGACAATTCTTCAAGCCGCTTTTCACTTAAACTGATGTTTATTTGGGGTGGTTAAGGGAGCTCTTGTAAAATACTGGAGGGGAGGGGGTGCCAAAGGCCTCCAAAGCGCCCTGAGGTGAAGCCTCCGCTCCTGCTTGCTTGTTGCTCCAGGAAGTCCTGGCCGCAGCCGGCTGTCCCCAAAACCTCTCTGCAAACTCAGAAGTGCTAATTGAACTCAGCGGTTCTCCCTTTTAAACCGGGAGCGGGGTGGGGGTGGGGGCAGGGAGCCGGGACCGGGTAGCGGCGGCCCGACCGGCTGGAGCGTGAACCCCCGCCCCCGAGCCCAGGAGGGGGCGGCAGGTGCCGGGGCGGCTGGGCGTGCGCCCGCCGGTTGACTCAGCGCCCCCGGCGCGATAAGTGCGGGGCGGGGTGTGCGCCCGGCCGCGGGGCCACTTACGAAGCCGTAGCCGCGGGACTTGCCCGTCTGGCGGTCGGTGATGACCACGGCCTCCTCGATGTCCCCGAAGCCCTCGAAGTACTTCCTGAGCGAGGCGTCGGTGGTGTGGTAGGGCAGGCCGCCCACGAAGATCTTGGTGAACGTGGTGTCCTTCTGCGAGCCGTGCATGGCGCCGGGGGCGGCCGGGGGCCGCGGG